GTGGGTGGGTGGTAGGTAGCCATGGACAAGTAGGGCAGCCCCGTGCAACATCCCTCTTCTATACACACATTAATACGAGATGGTATGTAACGACACACGATATCGCATCGAGAACGAGTGGATGAATCAGCAGATGAATGGATGGATTCGATATCGAGATGGATGGATGGATCTGGATCAACTCATGTACCGACCTTGTTGGATGTATTGTGTATGTGTTACAGCAAGGTTCCTTTAAGCGTCAAGTCGAGGTTGGTCGCGTTGTCCTTATCAACCACGGTGCTGACAGCAACAAGATTGCCGTCATTGTCGACATTGTTGACCACAAGCGTGTAAGTGCTATACAGAAGAAGAACCCCTCCTCCACAGCACAATGCATAACCGAATGAATATACATACATGGTAGGCTCTCGTTGATGGCCCCACCACTGGTGTCGCTCGTCAAGCTCTTGCCTTCGACCGTATGATTTTGACCAACATTGTCGTCAAGGGTTTGCCTCGTAACGCCGGCCAGACTACTCTCAAGAAGTACTTGGAAAAGGAAGAGGTTATGGCCAAGTGGAGCAAGAGCGCTTGGGCCCAAAAGCTTGCTACTCGTCAAACCCGTACCTCCTTGTCTGATTTCGATCGTTTCAAGGTTGCCAAGCTCAAGAACCAGGTAAGCATAAGGGAGGATATGGATAAAGATGTAGATGGGTGGAGTATTGACGTTTTGGTATCATTAGCGCCGCTTTGCTGTCAACTCTGCTGTTGCCCAAGCTGTCAAGACTGCTTAAGTTCAACAATATCCATCATCTTGCATCTTGTAATAAACCGTGATCAAACAACATTCCCCAATGTGTGTAAAGATACTCTACTGGATAGTAGGATAGGATATGGATTGTGGAGATGTGTGTGTGTGGGTGTGTGTGACGTATCCATGTCAAATTCATGCGTTGATTTTCAAGTGCTCTCTCTTTGACTTCTCTCTTTCTTTGAATGCATCGTTTTTCACGCTTCTTATCCCAATATCGTCACCCACTCCCCACACCATGTTACTTGACGCGATCCCACTCAACAAACTCTATTGCAAGTACTGTCAGCAATGACATGGGTCGTCTACGCGTTGAAGAAGAAAAATACACGACCGATCTAAGCTCACCATTCCCTCCTCGCATTCAACAAAGCTTATCCAATTTGGTTAACGAGACAGTAAACACCTTCAGCAATGCGCACATGATGGTCTCTGAAACACAGGGCAAACTCTTACATCAACTCACCCAGCTTGTCAATGCAAGACGCGTCTTGGAAATCGGCACCTTTACTGGTTATTCAACGTTGGCTATGGCGTCAGCGCTGCCAGACAACGACACAACGGCTACTGTAATATCACTGGATCGCAACGAGCAAGCTCAAGCCATTGCACAGAAGTATGTTCAGGACGCACAACTTGAAAACAAGGTAGACTTTCGACTTGGCAAGGCATTGGACCTGTAAGCATTATAGTGGTGGTGGAGGAGAGGTTGGTCTTATCAACGATCATCTTACATGCTTATTCACATTAGACTTCAAAACTTGGTACAAGAAGCCCCATCCAGGCAATTTGATCTTATCTTCTTGGGTATGTTGTGATCATGGATAACGAGTGGATTTCCCCAAGTTTGACATTGGTTGGGATGGTAGATGCCAACAAGAGTGGATACATCCCCTATTTTGATTATATCATGGATCATGACATGCTGGCGGATCGAGGTATCATGATTGCAGACAATGGTATGTGTATTATAGAGATTAAGGGGGACTCTGCAATTCATGTCCTGTAAGTTTTATTCTTTGGCCAGGTACATCGTGTGGCAGGGTACGGTGAAGCGTCTATTGAAGCATCCAAGAACATCCTCAACACGGCAAAAAAGGCTCACAGATTCAACCAACATGTGTTATCCGATCCAAGAGTACAAGTGGTGGTGCTCCCTATCTTTGATGGAGTTTCTATTATTCGAAAGCGGTGAATGCGTTTGCAAGTTGAGCGGCTATGCACGTCGTGGATCTCTGCTACTACCAATGAAAGTGTGGAACAATGACATCCCTAGCACCAAAACAATGACACCTGCTGGATTTGACAATGACCTATTCTCCTCCGTCTCCTCCCCGCTTGTACTTTTGCAATGATAGTTTTATAATGGAACCAACAAATTAAAGTGCTCTTTGTGGGTTATCTGATTCGAATGCGTCCATCACTTTGTTTCTCTATAAACGATGTTTCATTGATCACATAGTTACCATGAACGCTTCAATCGGCATGAATGTGATCACATCTGATAACAAGATCAATGCACTGCGCCCTTCACGGATGTCTCAACTCAACCAATTCTACGTTTTTTCCACAACCCTCAATACGATGTGCGATCTTGTTTAAGAGCAATCCAACTTACATTCCCTAGTAATCGGATGGTGGAGGATTGTATCCATGGAAACCGGAATGGGACAACCGATGAATCAGTTTTAGCGTAGTCCCACAACCTTGTCAACGATCTGATAAGCATGCATTATACTTTGGATTCCAAATTCCATATATGGATAAAAACATCCTTTCAAGGAAACATTTGCCAAGAATATAGCGTGGGATAGTTACATGCATTAACCACGATCCTCATTGTATTTAAACAGCCAACCTTTGTCAACCTTCGTTATCAATACACGCCGTTAGCAGCAGCAGCAACACACTTCCATCATGACCACAACAGGATCGTATCATAGCAAGAAGAGCACCTACAAGTACACAGCCGACTTTAGCTCCCCATTCCCTCCAAAGATCAAGCAATACATGGATGAGCTTCGTCAATACACGATTGACAACGTTGCCTGGTCTATCATGATGGTCAGCGAAACACAAGCCAAGCTGTTGAATCAATTCGTTGGTTTGGTCAATGCAAAGCGCGTCCTTGAAATAGGCACATTCACAGGATACTCAGCTATGGCTCAGGCAGCAGCGTTGCCATCGGATGGTAAATTGATCGCTTTGGATGTGGATAAAGACACAATGGATATTGCACGTCGTTTCCTCGATAAGGCACAGCTCTTGGATAAGGTAGACCTTATACTTGGTCCTGCTGCAGAGAGGTAATAAGCTATCATGATGAAAAGCATAAAAGGATATCAACAACTAATATCGGGTGTGATTCATTGTAGCATTAAAAACCTCATCAAAGAGGATCCCAAGCAAAAGTTTGATTTCATTTTTATGGATGCCGACAAGAGCGCTTATATCACTTATTACAATCTCATTATGGACAACGATCTCCTTTCGGATCACGGTGCAATCATTTGCGATAATGGTAAATGTTTAAAGTGAGTACAGGGTGTTGCCATGGCAACTCATATATCTATTTGGCAGTCTTGCGTCAAGGCAAAGTGATCCGTGCTGCAGGCTATGAAGAAGGAACCATCCCAGAGTCCGATCCCGATCATAAGGATGCCATGGCTGTGCACGTGTTTAATGAACATGTGTCAAAAGACACTAGGGTTCAAGCGGTCATTTTGCCTTTTGGTGATGGTATGACCATTATACGCAAGGCTTAAACTCATTCTCCTTTCAAAGCAAAGCCAAAAATCACGTTGAAATAAATAGTATTTATACAACCTCCCTTTAATCATTGAGTAGATGATAATGACTTGATACAACAAGGATAATCAATGGTGATGTGGTGGGGGCGGTACTACAGCCAACGAAGCCATAAGCATTGCACTTGGGTATTGAGAATGGATATGCAGCTATAGAGGAGCCGACACACTAAAGAAATGGCTGTGATTGATAACGTTCATCAAACCCCCGAAGAACCGATAGCATCTCATCCTTACTCAATCCTGCATCATGCATGGCGCGAATAAGCAAGGCTTGTTTCTCCATGTCCTGTGATCTGACAAACCCCACAAAAAGCTGCTGTTGTTGTAGTAATACATCCATTGTACGTCGCATGTTTTCATTTGATTGATGCATCAACTGTGCAAAGCCTGGTGGGATGTCGTTGGCAACAGCTGTTGAACCCGATTCATTGGTGTTATTTTCGATAGGATGGCCACTGATAGCATTGTCGGTGGATTCGTGTTGTTTGCTGGATGATGATGATGATGAGGGATCTTGTTGCTTTGTAACCGAGGATGCTGAGTCCACAAGAGTGGATGATTGAGATTCAGCACCTTCAGCATGTAAGGATGATGATCTTTGCCAATAAGAAGATGGAATAGGTCCTGATGCTGATGTTGTTGTAGTCATTGTGGTGGTGGTGCTATGTTGCCTTGTGAACATGGCGGTAGTAGTAGTTGGCTGTGAAGAACCTTCATCACAAGAAGAGGTTGCTGGCTTGGTATGTTCAAAGGGTTGAATCTCGTAATAATAAGGGAAGATTGCCTTGACAGCTTTGGGATCGTCTGGATCAGCTATAAAGATCAATCCATTAGCAAAAGGAAACTTTAATATCGCTCACTCACGTGATTACCCTTGTCCCTCGCTTGGGCTACATCATATTTCTCTGACCATGAATGGAGCATGTTCCTCACAGTTTGGTAGTGGTACTTTAATCCTTCCTTTGCCATCATCTCTTGAACTTCACGCGCAAGGCTAGGCCGAGAAAGTCCTTCTGGATTGCTGCTTGGTTTGCTGCGAGCGGGTGCATGACGATAGCGATGGAGATTCCCTGGCGTCTTGAACCACGACAGCAAGACCTGATCACGCGTAGCTATAGCCGATGGCCAGCATGAGGTTGTTGAATTCGAGCGTTGCATTGGTGCCGGAAGAGGTGCGTGTGTTTATACGCGTCGTGTGGTGGTGGGCAAAGGCAAACAAATATACGTCACCAGATCGTGTTGAGCATTTGACATCCATTAGTAGGCACATGCATTGCCACTTATGATCACGTGTTTTCAAGCAAAGAAGGAGAGATATCAGTGAAGCGCGCTCCCAATGACCAGATTGTGTACAATGCAGCACAGCGGACAATGACCAATGACCACGATATGATGATGATCCTGTACTACAATGAAGGAGAGGATGATTGTCAACAACAAGGACATGCACATGCGCGAGCTGTTTCATAGAAAACATTCAACTTGGTTACACCAGCATAATAAAAGATCCATTGGCTTATCTTCACAATGGCTGTTTCCCCTTCATATATGTCTACATTGCTGGTCATATCGATACAACAAGCAAGTGCAATCCATTTCAGCTCATCGTTACCACCCTTACATATGGAGCAACAGCTGCATGAAGTGCGTCAACAATACACCATCCATCAGTTGGTAGTTCTCTAATACAGAAGTTATGGTTTGCTACTGTTGTGACGTGCATATAGAATAAAAAGTTATAGCCTTTATTCCATAAGCTGATGAGAGTAATATCCTACTATTTTAAAGGAAGTATTTGCAAGCAGGGCACTTTTTGCATTCTGCAAGAGCAGTGGATCTCAGGGATGCACAAGGACTTTCGTCACTTTTAAGGAATTTCAATCCACTTTTATCTTCGGGATGAGCTTTTTTGTAAGCCTGGAACTTGTCATATACTGCCTGTGTCTCTTTGAGTATGTCAGGTTGGTACTTTTCCATGTTCTTTAGAAATTCAGGAGATGCACGAGGCTTGAGATAAGTAGCAATTATCGACATAATGGTGGACGAGGCGCATCGTTGTAGTTGGGATATAGCACTGCTAGCTTGTTTACAACCGCACAAACAAAATTGGCCAGCACCCAAAGTAGTCGGCACGGAAACTGTTCCTCCACTACATTCGGGATTTGTTCTGGGTTGGATTGCTTCAACGCAGAGTTCGGTGGAAAATGTCAAGTAATGTGCTTCTTCACAGTATCCACTTTTGCCGCACACTAGATCTGGTTTTTACAGATGATTAATAAGAGTTTCCATGTTCATGGATATGATACTTACGAGCACAACAACCCCTCTCGTCGCTAAGCGCTGAACCTTTGCACTGTTGACCACGGCCAGCGCATTGATGTTGATCTAGAACGGGTGCTCAACTGTAAGGACTCGTCTTTATAAAACCGAGAACGACTTGGAAACGAACAAAAAAGAGAAACAAGCTTATAAGCATACAGTTTCTCATCTTGATGAAGCTAATGGAGTGAATGAAATCAACAAACGCAATCATTTACCATAACGCTTATATACCTTTGACCATGCTAATAAAAAGATGATAGTAGGGAGGATGTAAGAATTGTGCTTTTGCATGAAAACGCCATTCTAAGCAGAATGTTCCTCTCTCCTCGTTCTCTACACGGTGTCGGTATATCAGTGAAGAAGCTGCAAGCAGACAGCAGATCTTGAGATGCAAGGGGCCAGAGACCAGAGGGATGAAAAGAAGGATCTTTGTTCTGCTATTTTATGAACTCACGAGTAAAGAGATATGGGTTCCCTGCCTCAATATCGAGCCCTCATCACCGTTTGCTTCCAAAGAAGTGACCATAGCTGCCATCATGTAACGTACATAATATAGGGAGGTACGCATGCATGCAAGGGATCAAGAAAGCTATTCAACGCCCATTGGGCTCAAGTTTGTAAACAAGGTCATCGTGCATGTAATTGCTCTTGGAACAACCAACACATTTATTACAAAAGGAGGAACAACTACAACTACAACTACATGCCGCTCACGTGATTACGCGACGTTTTGTACCGGTTGCCACTCTTTCTTGAACTCAATGAAGACACCTCATCAGGAATTTGCTCTGGATTGCTACTTGGTTGGGTGCAAGCGGCTGCATGGCAACAGCGATTGAGATAGCCTGGCACGACAACAAGTCTTGTTTCCGCTTAGCTATTCGTTGCCATTGGCCTGCAACATGTTGAATTAGAACGCTGCATTGGCACTGTGGAAGGGAGTATGTATGTTTATACGCTTCGTGGATGGCGAGCAAGGGAAAACAAATACGCCAGTGTACTAAAAGGTGTGCTGACGTCCATTAGATGATCGCATTTACCGGTTATGGTCACGTGTTTGGCAACAAAGCCCAAGGGATATCAGATGGCTCGATTGGAATCGCCGTTTGGAGCGCGCTATCCATGCACAATGCAACCACGATTAGACAACCTTGTGCTACAATGAAGAAGGGGATACTTGTCCATAAGGATGATATGCACTTCGGCTCATGCATACACAGGCGCGCTGTTCCGGAGAAAACACTCTAGCTTTGTTACACCATCACATCTTGACGACAATAAAAGGTCCATTGACGATGTTCTCTCATCATTGGTTTTTTTTCAATCACATCTCGTTTCCATGTCTGAACACAGCAGCTCCTATCAAAGCAAAGCAAGCACGACCCGATACACATCCGATTTCAGCTCACCATTCCCATCGCATGTCGAGCAACAGCTACATGAAGTGCGTGAATACACCATCCATCAATTTGAGAACTCGCGTATGATGATCAGCGAGACTCAAGCCAAGTTGTTGAATCAACTCATCAAATTGGTTCATGCTAAGCGCGTTCTGGAAATTGGCACCTATACTGGTTACTCCGCTATCGCTCAAGCAGCTGCTTTGCCGCCTAATGGAAAAATGATCACTTTGGACATCAATGAAGCTACTCAAGCAATTGCTCGGCGCTATCTTGAAAAGGCAAAGCTTTTAGACAAGGTGAAATTACAACTAGGACCAGCTGCTGACAGGTAAATGCAAAGATGGTAAACAAACATGGATAGTCAATTGATAAAAGGGGGTGATAGTATACGAGCCATGATCGACAACAAGAAGACTCCAGCTGAGAAATTTGATTTCATCTTTATGGATGCTGACAAGGATGCCTACATCACTTACTACAACCTTATTATGGATCATGACCTCCTTTCGGATGATGGGTTGATTGTTTGCGATAACGGTAAGTAAACATTGACTGGTGTGTTTCATCCATCGGCTCATCATTTCTTTTTTGTGTTACAGTTTTACGCCAAGGCAATGTGGTCCGTGCTGCTGGTTATGAAGAGGGCACCATCACCGGTCGAGGTCCAGATGCCGAATCTCACGCTAAAGCTGTCCATGAATTCAATCAACATGTCGCCAAGGATACCCGTGTTCAAGCTGTCATTTTACCCCTCTACGATGGCATGACATTGATCCGTAAAGCTTAAATTTCCTAAGCACACGACGACAACGACGATATCGATGATCTCGATAGAGCTTTCTTGCTTGATCACGTGTTTACAATAAATACCACCTTCTTGGCAATCTTTAATGAAACATGAATCCTTCTATGCCAAGACGGCTGTAAAAGACCGATTTGACTCCATCTCGATCACATCCTTGTAAGAACATTTCTTTAGCGGGATGGCAACCGTACTTTCCTATTTCAGTAAACATGTATGCATCTAGACTAACATAGAGTGCAGCACTCGTGACATAGTGCCATTAGCTCATTCCTCATCTTTGGCTATAGCTCTTTTACAATAAACATTACTTGAATACGATTCAATTGATGAATGATTTATACAGGGGGGATGAGATAAATAGATAACAGTACAAGGTATAACAACGAGGTGTGATGGGTGGGTGGTGATGACAGCAAAAGGAGGGGGAGTAGATGGGATGTCGGATAATGAGCATTATGTCAAAGAACAATTTACATACGCATGCTGGGCTCTTAGTGGGTGGTCGTATGATTATGGGTGTCTGAATTCGGTAATACAGTAGTAGTAGTCGTAGTAGCAGTAGGGGTTGTTGGGGTACTTTGATCTTGCTGTTGTTCTTCATGACGATCCACAGCATCATAAGCCGGAGGAGGTTGTGCTGGTAAGGGTGGTTGCGTAGGTGGTGATGATGGTGATGGTGAAGAAGAAGATGCCTCAAGATACGATGGTGGCAATATTCGTTGTTGATCCGTTACATCCATCTCACGCATAGACTCCAATGGATGACGATCATCATCACACTGTAAATCAGGTCCCATATCCAATACCACATCATGCGTTGCTGCTCCATAACTTGGTAACGTATCACCACCCGTCATCCCACGAGCAATGACCTCAGCTTCTGGATCAATCTGCACTGCTTCGATAACCAAGCTAATACTCCAATTGTTGAGAGGAGGTGGTAGATGCAAGTCTCTTGCAGTATCATAATCACGTAATCGCCGATAATCCCATCGCACTTGATGTGGTCGATCCAATTCTGAAAGATCCTTTAGACATTGTTGAAGATGCTCTTGGAACTACAACAGCAATATTAGATCAAGCCTTTATCATCACCTTCATCATTGCCACACTCACATTGTTAATCTTGATGTAATGTATACTACGTCTTCGTGTCGTCCAATAGGCGAGAATAGCGGGAGCCACCAAGATCAACAATGGATACCACATGGATATTTCAAGGCCTCGGGCAACTATTGAAAACGCTGCAGTGGCAATGACGAACCCAATGGCCGACATGAACATGTACGTGTCTGGATAAATATTGGGGTATTCTTTTCGTACGAGTTGTCGCAAGGTGAGCATGTGCGAATCGAATTGGTCTTTGGGTAGCTTTTGGAGATGGCAAATGTGAGTCATTCAGGGCAAGTTGTTGTAGTAGTAGTAGCCAAAAGAATAGAAACGTACATATTCGGCAAGTTGGGGATATGACTCGTAAGGAGCAATGACCAGTCTTGACGGTCTGTACCGATGAATAACCAGTGCGAAAACCGCCAAGGGCATGATAAAGGGGACAATAAAGCGGAAAAGAGAGAGAGAGAGAGGAAGAAAGCAAAATGCAGTTTGCCGAAGAGCTCGGCCCAGTTATGGTTACGGTGTCGGATTTAAGATGGCGCTCAAAAGCAGTAGCTTCCCATTGTCTGTGTGAATAAGCATGCTCATTGGCTTATATCGCTTTGACTCTGTGGAATATTCTACATTCCATCTAAAAGGGCCCATGCTTTTGACACATGGCGGAAAAATACCACGTAGCATATAGCATATATAGTTTCCATGGCAATTGCCATGGCAACCAGCCTATGTCATCATCTCTCGAGTCATGACGACCTTACTACTACTACCACTACTATCATTGAAAAAGTCTGGTACCCGCACATTCGGAGTGGAATTATCATTTTCATTTGAATAAAGAGAGAGATTGGGATCTCGCAGACGGGAACGCGTAAGAAACGATAGAGTGACACGGTAACTCACGAACTAAATGTCCGCTTAAAAACATTTCCGATTTGGTGTTCAACACCTAAAGATCCTCAGCATCGTGCCCGCTTGCGGACCTTGTCGCTGATGCATCTACTTGACAACTTGTGGTTTTCTCAATGACGGGGCTTTCATATCGATTCATGATTGTTTAAACATCATCTACGCTTGCATGTGTATATAGGGTTCGATAAAAAAGATCTTTGTTTCAATGAAACACGATGCACTACATCGAGTGTACGAGAAATTTTTTTACCAAAGCAATCCCTTGGCATCAGCCGTGAAAGTATTCGGGGAAGAAAGTTCTCAGTCAGGGGTTGTGTGTGTGTGTATGGGTATGTGAGAAGGAAAACTGAGAACATAGTTAACGCAAGTGCATGCGACCATAGAACAGGTCGTTGTCACCGCTATGGATGCTATTGACAGTTGCCTGATGAACGTGAGTGTTCATTTATCAAAAAGGAGTAGTATATCAAAAGAAACTAATTGCACAAACTGGTTATCTTTATATTATCATCCATGATACCCAATATTGTTTTCTCCTCCTCCTCCTGCTACTGCTGCTGCTGCTGCTGCTGTTGGCTGCTGCTAGTCGATGCCCTCCTATCTTTGAACACAAAGCCCCTAACATCCAGCGACGGTCTCTATGCTCACTCTCTAAGCGGGCATTAGCGGTATAGCATTTCGTTTGTGTTGAGAAAAAAAAAGATGTGGTTTCCCCCTAGATGATGAAGCAGACTCCGTGGGTTGTTGAGAGAAAGAGAGAGAGTAGGAGACCTTTTCACTTGCACGTCGTTTGTCTCTTTCATTCTCTTTCACTCTTTCTCCTCTTTTAATCCATACGTATTTAATCAACATCAAAAGCCATGGCGGCTGCCGTTTTATTATTACTAATTGCCGCCATCATCTTCCCATCATGTATCCATGCAGGTACAGTGGATCAATGCCCAAAGCTCCAAAACATTATACTCACTTACGATAGAGCCAGCAGCACCTGATGTGAGCAGCAATAGCAGTAGCAGAGCATCCTTGCCTGTATGGGCCATTGCCATCATTGTGGTCTTTTTTGTGGCTGTTTCAGCAGTGTTAGGCACCTTCTTTTTTAAAAGAAGGCTTCGATTGGGGAGAACATCATCATCCACAGCACAAGAAAAAATGTCATCGACACCTCCTCATCCTTCACCACCGCGTGATGAAAGTACTCTTGCTTCACACATTGATATCGAGAAACCTTCATCGTCATACAAGGAGATTTGTATATCATTGCCCTATCCACCCCAGTCGACATTTCTCTTTTCAGATAAGCTTGAGCTGGGGTCGAACGATGATGCTGCCGCTTTGTACCAGAAATACATGAATAGCAGCGATGCTGGTGTGACACCAAATCCTGGCAACGGTAAACGTGCATCCGTTGCTGCCACGCTCAAAAACACCTTACGTCAATCATTGCGTCTTCAAAAGAGCAACAAGACTCCTTTGAGTCATGTTGCTTTTGATCCACCACCTTCCGCAACAGGAAAGCAATCATCTAGTGAACATCAACAACCAAACAACAACGCACGTCGTTTGTCCACGCGACGCTCTCTTTCCATCAAGAAAAAATCGACCACAACACTTTCTCCAGACTCGAAACTCGAATGCTCCAACATCTCTTGTTCATCGCCCGTCTTTAGTGAGAATGACCAGTCTACGCTACAATCCAAGAGTCGATCTATGGATAGTGACCATGTCGTCGCCGTAGCTGAAAGTCGACCCATTGTGCCTAGAATATCCGATCAGTATGAGCGACCCACCGCGTTACCAGCATCTCCTCCTCTTCCTCCTTCTCCTTGTCATTACTCAACCCCTGCATCGCCGCATTCGTCAACAACGCCATCGACAGCCTTGGGAGATGCTGAAAAGGAGGGAGCCACTGCTGAACTAACAGCTCACCAAGTGATTCAGTATGCGTCAGTACGTACCAAGCATCGAGCTGATCAACGCAAGAGTGCTTTGGATTGTTTTGCGTCATCATCATCACAACCACCACCCTTGCAGCAGGAAAATCCATTCGCTTCTATCCATGATAATAATCGTCCTCATGATACCATTTCTCGACGACAACGTGAAAACAAAAAGAGCATGGATGGCCTATTTGGATCGGATATGCATCGGGATATGAGTGAGCCACCACCGCATTCTCAGCCACAGTCAACAGCAGCAGCCACTACAATGAGAGAACGTGATACAACAACCACCACTGCTACTATGCCCATTGATCCATCACTTGATGCTAAATGTGAATTACCCGATGATGATGATATTCAACCCAACCATAATGCAACGACAACAGACTTGCCAGATATTCCACAATGTCGAGTATCGGCTGAATTGAGTGCCATGAACATATTCACAGAGAGCTATTCATCCGATTCGAGTCAAGAAGAGGAGGAGGAGGATCCTATGCCAACCCATTACAAAGACGACAAGAAGCAACCACTGGATGACACAAAACAATCATCAGCCGCCAACAATCCCACGACCACCACCGATAAGGGGACGACAACGCCTCCAGTAAGAGAGAGTTTGCCACGCAATGGCAGTGTGCAGGACATTATTCATTGGTGGCAGAAAGAATCTTCTCTTCGAAGCAGCAATAGTGAGCAATCAATCAGCTCTACCACGCAAAAACAACAAGCGCCATCCTCTTCTCTATCACAATCAACCAACAACAATGACACAGCCACTACCACTGCTGGTGCTAAGCCAACACCTTCAGCTTCAGAGCCATCATCTACCATACGTTCCAATCGAAACAGCATTCTTGGCACACCACGGCCCACACCACCCGCCTCCATGCGTATTGTAAGTGTTTGTTTGCTACTTTTATAGGAAAGGAAAATGATGACTTATGTGTTTCCATGGATACAGGGAAATCATGCTGCGACAGGAACAACCTCACCACGTGCCAGCTTGGGTAGTTTATCGCGTACATCAGCCGCTGAGCGAATGAAGATTCTTGCCAATAGCAGTATTAGCAGCAATACAAGCCATGTGGATTCACTACGTAAAAAGTTGCAAACTACAGCATGGCCGACAACAACAACATCAGCATCTGGCAACAGCCCTACGCATAGCAACAATAGCAGTGCCAATAGCAGTTTACGTTGTGACCCCCCACCAGCAGGTCTTGTGTCCTTGTCTGCAAGAGCTCAGCAATCCTATCGTCCAGCAATGCCATTCATGGGTGAAGAAGATTTTGAAGCACCTGTACCCACCGCATCATTTTCATCATCCACTGTACGCACCATGATCCCTGCAGATGAATACATTGGCCCTGGTGGTGGCGCTTCCATTGTGGATAATCCTCCTGCTGGTGGTGGTGGTAGTAGCAACAATGGATCCTTTAGTCGAAGCAATCCCATCAATCAACGGCAGCAGCAACAAGCTAAACCTGTTCCACCTACATCATCCAAGCCAAATCCTACTAGTAGCAGTGTACGATCCTCATCACCTACAAAAGAAACGACACAAAAAGAGGCTGCACCATCACCATCACCCAAACGAGAAAATACACAACAAGCGTATACTACAATGCGTGGTGGAAAACGAACACGAGGATCTATCCCTTGGTTACCTGAATCAGCAGCAGCAACAGCAACAACTTCTACCAACACCGACAAAAAGACACCAGCACAAAAGGAACGTGATCGTTATCTCAAGTCGTTGAAATAATCCCCCTTTTCTTGATTACACACTCTTGTCATTACATTTCCCTCTCCATTCAAGATAATATAATATAGTTGGTATACGAGGCCCAGCCTCTGTACGTTTTATTTTCTCGCACACTTGATCATGACTTATTTGGGAGCAAAGGGGCATTTGGGAGCACCCGAGGTGGCATCATTGTTGCCATTGTCCTTGCGGTTCTTTGCCATTTGACGCATCAATTGAGAGGGGTCATAAAAGGTTTCAAGCTGAACAATAATATGAGATCATACTGCATGCATGCATCCCTCCACCCCCACCCCGCTTTATCCATCACACACACACACACACACACACACACTTACCGATTCAATCTCAAACTTTTCATTGACCTTGGCCACGGTAACGCCAAATGTTTCAACCACCTCGTTGGTGGCGGTAGCTTCCAACTTTTCACCATTGCCAAGGTTCACAGACAAATCACCTACCATCGTACCCCAGTGGCTAAAATTGAAAGGTATATCAGTTGGGTCGTCCTATACATACACCACTATTACTACTACTATACGTACCGCCATTTGAAGGCCACAGTGGGTGGACCACTATAAACTTCAAGGACTTCCCAAGAAAAGGTACGCAAGGCGCGCTTAAAGAGCTTGTGCGACTCACTGAAATCGGCTTCGCTGGCCTTGTACAATTCGGTATCACCAATGAGGGCATTGTAAGTGCCGATCTATCGGGCCGTCGTCGTCGTCAGTGTCCACAAAACATTGAAGCATTACACCACACTCCAAATAAAGCATGGATGCGATTGGTAATCAAAGAAAGAGATAATAACAACAACAACCTACCTCAAGCATCTCATCCACCGTATGCCATTCACCGCCATTGACACTGAAACGATACTTTTCTTGGTTGATAGTACGGATCTGGTCGGCACGCAACTTGTAGGACATTTCCTTTTCCCAATTCTAGAAAAGATTGTAATAAGCTTATCATCCATCCTCTTCATTCCTTCAAGGAGATGCATACCTTGACAAGATTGGATACGAGCCATGACAATGAACCCTCTTCATGTTCAACGGATTTTTCTAGTAACACGCCACGTCCTATAAGTTATCATGGTCCAAGGCGAAGATAACAACCAAACTTTTTACCTTTTTCATAAGCTTCATTCACCTTTTTGTAATCGGGAACACGCTTATAACGCCATTCATGCTCGGTGTCCTTGAGCACAGCATTGGGGTCAGTCATAAAATCTGGGAGGTCTGCAGCCATGATGATGAAAAGTGTGTGTAAGAGTAGGGGGGATGGAGAAGAAAGAAAGGTAAAGGTGCCAAGCAGCTGGGTGACCTGCTGCTTATAAAGCTTTGGATGTCGGTTGGCCAACGAGTTATCAGACGATTTGCTGCCCAATGTGATTATTTGCCTGTACCACCCTACCTTATAATTCATTCTCCTTGACAAACTTTTGACATGGTATGTTTTTCATATTCAAACTTTAAAGTGATATAGATTTTATATATATACACCGAGCTGCGTTCGTGCGGGGGCTACTATTACTACTAATACATCACATGTTACTGCATACACAGCCCTGTTGCTTGCCTGAAAATCAAACATTGCCCACCAGCGCCTCACTGTCAATGTATCACACTGTTCACATAGCTCGTTGTACAAACACAGGGATTCGGGTGTCTGTAGCGGAGACGATTGTGCATAGCGTGGTTGTGATAGAGTGGGGCGCCTTTTTGTCTTGCTGGGCTTTTTCAGGACACCCAATGGTAACATCCCAATTTATGGAAAGCCGATGCATGTGCGCGCGTGGCACAAAAGGGCAAAAAAAAAGTTTATTCATGTATGTTTCTCGGACATCAACAATCACTTTTTACATGGGCCAAAGCTTTTCAACATGAGTGAGTGAGTGAGTGCGTGCGTATGTATGCGTCGAGACTCCTTATGGAACGTCATGATGAAAATGGGACTTACTTTATAGATTCTGGAAAAGGCTTCGTGGCCACCACTACTAATCGTTAAAAGGAAAGAAATTTAATGCGGGGATTAGGTTTTGATGAGGAAAGAGAGCTTGCGATCAACGACTACTACAGGTGGATTCTCTATCTGCTGGTGATGTGCGCTGGGTAACAAAGCATGTACCATGTTTCCATCCTGGAAAGTTTTCATGTGATACAATCCGGAGGTAGACAGCGAAGTGAGGATGTAAATGGCATAAAGTGAGTGGGTGTACGTGCGTACATACATACTTGCACACAAAAGATCGAGACCACCCGCTTTTTACAATGCCGAGTTGCTGGTTCTGCAGCAGCAGCTATTCCCCCGATTCGGGATACATTGTCATGGAATAATAGGGTAGATGCATGGATGATGAGCAGTAATAGTAGTATGTAGTAAGGGACGCTGCTTTGGTTTTGTGGAGGTGAGTGGTTTTCATATGGATGGTACAAGTACAGAATTTCTTTGACCCAGGTACTCTCTCTCTTCCTCTCTCTCTCTTTCACCCCCACCACCCAACCCACCTCTCTTTCTTTTGTGGCTCTTACAATGGGCAAAAAAGTATTCAAACCAGCTGTATCCGACATTGATGCTGGCACCCATCACGAACGTCTCTATGATAAAGCTCTTCACCCATGGCGTGCAAAGTTACGACGCTCATTGATCCCACTGGTTCGGGCAGAGACTCCACACTTGGCTACCATGCAGGTGAGTGTGAACGACACCACCCCATCGACTTGGACATCATCTTTCAAGATCCCAAACTCCTAATGCCGTCCACTTTAGCGACTCGTACGAACACCTCTTCTCGATCAGTACTTTTTGTGGACAGCCAACCTCGGCACTCATACGTTTTTCATGGTCTCGCTTCCTATCCTTGTATGGTTTGATACAATGTCCATGGCAAAAAGGTAAAAAGAAGAATTGTATGCAGGGAGCCGATATCCACTAACATAGGGCATGGATCGTTCATGTAGTGTTGCATGCATGACAGCTTTTGGCGTCTTTTTATCTGGTTTTGTAAAGGTAAGGGCTTACAGATCACATAATCTAAAGGATGGGGAGCATTACCATGATCTTCGAGGGAATGAGGACTCAACTACTTTTATATGGGGATCTCCCATCTCTAGGACTTTATGTGCCTTCCTCGCCCTCTTTCACCACCCGTACATCGGTTGAGCATGTCCAAATCAACATCCCTTGAATATGGTTTTCCATCGACGCATTCGACAAATTCAATCTCCGTTGCTCTCTTTGTCGTGGCTGTGACATGTGAAAGTGTGAGCCCTGAAGCACGCGCCCTCATCAAGTTGGGTGCTATTGTTTATGCAGGAAGCGTTGTCATGGGTCGTATTTATTGTGGCATGCATACCTTCACAGGTAAACCTTGGAAAAGAACGCTTGATCCAGTCAACTTATATATATGTTGTCGGTGATAGATGTTGTGGGTGGTTCCATTCTTGCCTATATCTTGTATTGGTTCCAGTGGACATTCAAAGACCAATTCGACGGTTTATTTACTGCAGAGACAATCATCCCTAGTAAGTGCATACTATCATTGGATATGGAATGGAACTCTAATGGGGTGTCATCATATAGCGTTGATTGCAGCAGCAATATGCCTTGCCTTGGTGGGATTACAGTACGTAAATCAACATGTGGATGGATGCTCTATCAGATGACTTATATACAATCACAAATAGTCCAGACCCCATTGAGAGATGCCCATGCTTTGAGGATAGGTAAGGGAGGGGGAGGAAATGGGTGTGGTTGAACTTGTTCAGGATCACTGATGTTTCTCGTACAGTGTTTGTTTTATGGGTGTTCTTGTTGGCGTCTTCCCTGGTGGATGGCTTTGCGCACATTCAGATTATTGCACGATGGGACAACAAACTTTGGCCTTGGTTCATTCCTCAGCACCTATAGCAGTCGCTATTGTTCTTGCAAAATTGGTTCTTGGTAAGAAAGGATGAGAGGCTCGCTATCTTACATGCGATTGATCCGAAATCTAAATAGGCGTGGCAAGCTTATTCCTTTGGCGCATTGCATGCAAAAGAGTGTGCTATTTTATCCTTCCACCCATCTATCGTGCATTCAACCTACCTCATAGAAAGTTTGAAATTGGTGCCAGGTAAATGTTACAGCTTCATCATCCTCATTCTTCATCTTCACCACGACCCACTCACCTTTTGTATACGTAGAGCCTATAAAAGTTTAAACCGAGAAAGCATTCATCCTATTCCCTCCGTGCTGGATTTGCATGATTTGTCGGTCAAGCATGCTGAGCATGTAGGTATTCAATCCTCGATTGATTTGCATGAAAAGAGAGCATACGACAAGGTCCAATATCGTGGTGCCAATGCGGATGGAGAAGAAGGTGGCTGTGCTGGTGGCAACTGCAACGAACGTGGTGGTCGACACACGAAGGATGTATATGATCCAACAACCGAACTTGTAGCAGAAGATGCACCCTTACGCTACGACGTGGATATTGTTACAAAGTTGATTGTATATGCAGGTACGACAACGATCATCGTATGTCGAATAACAAAGATGCATGACATGACTGACGTTTATCCTCTTAGGCATCGGATGTCTTGCTGTATTTGGTGTACCTTTGATGTTCCAATTTTGTGGTCTCAGCAGTTGAGTAATTTACACTTTATATCCCTTCACGTACTTTAATCTAGATATCCCCTTATCTCTCCGCTGTTTGTTGTATCCTCACACACACACACACTTTAATGAACAATGTCTTGCCCTTTTCCAGCGATGAATGCAGTAGTGAATGATATTGTATACGTGGACTTGTTGAATATACAGGAGCTGGGGGGGAAGTTGTTAAACGAACATTGGTATTGAAAGCATGGGAAATCAGTAACAGTGAAAAGAAAGCAATATGGGGGAATGCAATAGTGGAGTTGGGGTATCAATCACGCATTGGCAATATGACAACGATTGGAGCAGAAGCGGAAAAGCAATGGAATATTGGCTGTACCAAACAACTCTTGCCATACGATCAATTCGACGCTAGGTTTGTTGAACGGCTTTTCACACTTGTAACATCGACTCATGGGTGTTACTGAACGTAGGCGTTCCTGAAGCTCATAAGGTAGAAATTGACAATCCATATTGGATGATGATGATGATGGTGGCGCTGAGAGCAAGTGTCGACTTGTTATCTCCACAAGGCTAGGAATCGTGCTCATGACATGGCGTGGATCCACGGGTGAAGTAGGATGCACAAAGGGGTTCGGAGAATGACATAGAATTGTGAGCTTTGGAAGCTTCAATACCTCGGCTGGAAGATAGGGCTATGTATGGACAAGGGTGTAAGATGAAAAGTACCACGGTGACATTCAAGTTGTAACTTTACCAATTGATTGTTCCCCACAGATAGCTCCACCAGATTTTGTAATAAACCAATTTCATGAGGCAATTGAGTAAGCTGGTTGTGTCCTAGTAGTAGAATAACGTGTTGTCAGTTTTCTCGTATCCCCCTTTCCTAACCTCTCCCCCAACCCCTCCTTTGTACGCACGTAAACTCAGCACCGACAAGTTCTTTAGGGAAAAAAGATAGGATGGTAATTGAGTGAGGGTGTTTCCATAGAGGAATAGCTTGAGTGATGAATTCTTAATCCTGTCTTTGCGAAGTACAGTGACATGCTTGAGTTCGGTGATTTCATCCGGTACCTCGGTCAATCCCAAATGACTAAGAAAAGAACCCAATCAGCATCATCCATACAACAGCCTCTATCATACGATACACATGTTGAAAGATGGATACCTTAAATCCACATAGTCTTCACCATTATCGATAGCAGCATCAATCACTCGTCGTACACGCTCTTGTTGAACACTTTTGCTTATCACTTGATCATCATCCACATTCATGCGTCGTCGTTGATGCTGTTCGGGCGACTCTGGTAATCGACCCCTTTTACGTCTGGTCGCTTTTGATGGATAAAACACTCCTCCCTCCTCGTCTTCTTCATCATCATCATCCACAGACATGGCTCTTCGAGGTGGAGAGGGGAAACAACGATGACATGATTGGGGTAAATAATCTTCATCTTCGGAGCTATCCGTGTCGAGCCAATCTACGCTATTGGTTTCTGATATTGGTTGGTATCGGTGGTTGTGGTTGTGGTTGTGGTGTTGCTGTTGTGTCAAGATAGTCATGGCGGTGGTGGTGGGAAGGGAGTCATTGTCGGAATCTTGTTCTTGGGAATTGTTGGGCGTAACAAGGCCATAATCAAATAGAGCAGTAGAACCACCCAAAGTCATGGGAGATTAGGAAAAGAGAGGAAAAGAAAGAGAAAAAGAGAGAAAACCAGCGAGAACCATGGTCGAGCTCTAGTTAACATGCAACCACTTTTTTCACCCGTTATTGCACCCACCCACACCCACACACATAAATCTCCCAGGTCAAAAACTCAGCCCTCATCCCATTAGCATGAGAGCCCCCCATTATTCCCTCTCTCCTTACAAAGCATTGTTATTCATGCTGTCCTACCATCCTTCCTTCCTTTTAACATGTACATTTTTTATATGATTGATCCATTTGTAAAATATAAGCTAAAAGAAACGGATAAATGCAAGGAAAGAAAGGGTTCTAACAAAAAGGGAGGGAGGGAAAGAGAAGGTATATTTCTAAGGGCAAGTTTTTTTATATCCTTTTTCCTTGATCGATGATTTCGCACCAATATCCACAAGTGTATCAACCCATTTTTTTATATCACAGGATGCGTATGTAGAGTAGAAAGGTGCTTGGCCTGGTAGGTGCCTCCTCCTTTTTACTTCTTCTTGCCAAAAGTCAAGGGCTCACCAATGTTCTTGCCTCTAAGCTTGACACCCAAAGCACGCTCGAGCTTACCCAAGACCTGTTGGTTGGGAATGGCCTTACCAGACTCGTATTCGTTCACCTAAAACAGACACACATGTTTAGATCCCTCTTCCCTTGTATGTTGTTATATAAACATACCACTTGAGGCTTCTCGTTGATACGTTGAGCAAGATCCTTTTGAGTGAAGCTCTTTTCCATACGAGCCTTGGCAATCACACGACCCACAGAGACATCCACCTTGGGAGGAGGAGCAACATCATTTTCACGATCGAGCTTGGCGATACGTTGATGATCACGGTTGGCATGGCCAGCGTTGGTAATAGTCTTCTTCTCGGTGTTGATAGAAGCACCAGCCTAGAAGATACCATCAATATCACAGGCGCCATTGAACCCTATATACACACACACACACAAAACTTACTCTTCTTGCTGCGTTCAGATCGCTCTCGTTACGAGACACCTTGGCGCGATCAGCGTTGCGCTTGCGAATAACAGTAACGGAATCCCAGTCTGATCGAGGAAAACGGTGTGTGAGTTTATGTGATGGGAGGATGAAGAGACGGCATCAGCTTACCAGACATGTTGAAAAGAAAAAGTGAGTGTAAAAGTAGCGTAGAAAGAAAAAGAAATTGATGGGCGTTGCGGGATAGGCGATTTATTTGCCACTTTGTGACAAATCAAGCTCAGAGGTATTCCACCAATCGCTGCGAGAAAACGTTCATCTGACGTTGTCGTTCGCCTTGAAGGGAGATCACGAATCGTATCAAAGAATAGATTTCCTCTTAAGATAGAGAGAATCCATTTGTCATCCATTGCCTCCCCTCTCAACAATTTCATATCATTGGTAACACATTCGACGGCGGCCCGTGTCTTACTACTGTGGATCATGGCGCAGCAACCCCTGATAATAGCAACGGGCCGCATCCTATCCGACGACATCATCAAATGTGCAACTGGCAACATGATGGATTGCTGATCATATCAACGAATGATTGATTTGAGTTATTGTATCATTGTTTACTCGACAATGTCATACAAAGCGCCACAACAACAGCGTTCCTTTCTCGGTAATATCCTAAACGTGGTAACCATCCATCCTCAGCTACATTTATTATGCGTTGTTACTAGGCACCATAGTAGCCATACGTTGCTTCTGCGAGAGCTTTGGTGGGCCGTTACGTTGATGGATCAAAGGCTTCATAATGTGTTGTGCACGTACCAACCCATGAATGCCATTCTAATACCTCATTGCACCACTACGGGTCGAAAGAAAAAGTAATCTAGAGATTCAAATGTTTTATTGTGAAGACATTAAATAAGACCAAGTGTATCACATTTGACTTCTGATCAAGTAAGAATATGTTGTGCTGGTAATTGCACCTCCTTTCGTGCATGTGTAGTATGTGATAGGTTGATTTGAATTGAAATGAAGATAATTACAGCATGCAAGCAAGCAAAGATCCAATGTGTATCACTACATTCACCAACTTGGTGGAGAGATATAGTGCTGCGCCTCTTCAAAGTGACACCATTAAGCATCGCGATGCCGCAGCACGATGTAAACGCGCGGGGTTGCTATCGATCGGCCAAAATCTTCCCGAGATTATTGTTATTTATATGCATACCTTTCCTTCTTTCACCCTTATCCTCCCCCACACTAAAAACAATGCCACTTGAAACATTCACGCTTTATCCAACTCAAAAACATAATCGACCACCAGCACCATCCAAAATCTCACTCCATGGCTTAGACCTTCTCAGTGCTCCAATTCAAATCCACAACCATCGTTTTTATCATTGTCCAAAGGATAACTCTATAGCTGAGGTGATCGACAAGCTGAAAGCGTCCTTAGCTGAAGCGCTTGAACTCTATCCAACAGTGGCAGGCTTGGTGACCGTTGACGACAAGGGAGATGCATACATTGCTACTACTGATGTTCCTGGCACACCATTCTTGATCGAGAAAAGAGATACACCTTTTGATGGGAAGGATTCTGAAGACCTGTCACCTCGCACTGAACAAATTCTAGCACCTGGATCAAGTAGTTTTGCTGTCAAAATCACAGAGGTTAGTATTGATGATAGCTTTCACAAACCATGATTGATGATGATGAACCTCCTCCTACCTCGCATCCTCTAGTTTTCTTGTGGTACCATTGTCGTTGCCTCCTCATTGCATCATCAAGTGGCTGATCTACGTGGATTCCTTGACTTTCTTGAAGTATGGGCCATGATTGCTCGTGATGAAGATATCAATGAATCAAGATTACCGGATGATTGGACACGCACTCCAGGTCGATTCTTTCAAGGATTGAATGATGATGATGATGACGATGATCATTCATCGCCACCGCCACCACCACCTTTTGGACTTCTTGATACACCCGCCACGGGACCACCCGCTTACTTGCTTGTACCATCCAAAGTAACACGATGGGAATTGACGCGTGAATCCATGGCTCAAATGAAAAAGGACCTCTCGCCACCTCCACAGAGTGATAGCTGGATCTCGACAGGGGATGCGTTATCGGCATTACTGAGTGGTGCTGTGGCACGAGCACGTGAACAAGCCAAGGTGCCTCGTCTAGAAGGTCGATCGAGCGAAGCATCAGGTGTAGAAAAGATCGCCATGGCAGCCGATGGGCGTGATCGGTGTCCTGATCGCACCATGGCAGGTGGAAAGTACTTTGGCAACTTTAACAATCTGTGGAGCGTCTCCATTCCAAGAACAGACTTGTTGACACCCACAAGTGAAGCATCAGGTCGTGTTGCTCTTGCTGTACGTCAAGGTTTACAAGCTGCATTGGCACCCAAAGCTGTCGCCGATCGCATTGCGTTCTTTGAGAATCCAACAAACACGCATCCTGCAGGTCGTATCGTTTGGTCTGCTGATATCATCTTGACAAATTGGTGTCGTTTTGATCTCAAGGGACCTGAGTTTGGTAAGTTGCAGGAGGAGGAAGAAGAGGATCATTGCCCAAATTAGCTTGTTGCTTACCTGTTGCCTAGATCTGGGTTGGGGCAAGCCCTTCATGACAACGGATGGTAGTGGAAGCGTTTTTCCTCCAGGATATAGCTTAATGACCCAAGATTATGACTCTGGCAATGTCGTCATACTGCTGACGGTGGAACATGATGCTGTGGAAGCTCTCAAGTCAGATCCATTGCTCACTCGTTATGCGACACCACTCGTCTAAATCAAGAAGGGCCACATGATTTCATTTGCATGTTACTTTGAATGGAGATTGATCTGCTCTCATATACCATCTTGTAATAATACCTGCAATTAAAGTGCTCTTGTCGATCTGTCAATCCATAGGGTATTTACGCTATTGGTCGTGGTTGATCACTCTGGAATTTTCTTACCAATCAGGGAAAAAGGGGGTTTTTGTGTTCATCATGATCTGGAAAGAAAACTAGGAACACGCAAAAGCCACGTGCTTACTGCAGAATATCGTCATCGTGGATGCAAGGTGTGTGAGTGTGTGTGGGAGTAAAAACGTGTCATATGCATATCAAACTTTCTCTCTCGGATGCTAATAGAGAGAAAGAGATGCTTTCACGCGCGCGTGTGCGGACGTGTAGTGCGTCCTTTTTTTATCCCATGATCACCTGGGGGTGACAAAGCAATGATTGAAGGATGTACGTAAGTAATGCAATGTATTATCGGATCAAATGTGCAGCTGCACAGTGCTGCGAGCAATAGCTAGTTGCATGGGCAAAGCTAATCCTCACAAATATAGATAAGGTCATGAGAACAATCTCGATCACAAATGGCAGCACATCAAGTACTACGTACGATTACTTGATGCCCCGCCGTTTAACTCATTCTCAGCGATTGGTGTATTCAGGCATAAATTTGCCGCGATGACTAAGTATTCTGTATGAGTATGTACAAGAAAGAGAGAGATCATGTTGGATTCTTGTATGACCAGCAATAGGAGCAGCAGCACATAGCACAACACACTACTTACACCACCACAGCATGCAGCTGAGCTCGAATCGGAAAGTGGCCGTGCATAAGCAGTGTTGTGCGTCTTTTTGCCAAGGTTCCCTAATCAAGTGGATGATATTGTCCCTCACTCAAAATGCGTTGGCTTATCCCCACACACGCACACATTAAAGCCCATCACCTCCCCCCACATACCTTTCCACAGGTTTCAGAAAAATGGGAAATGACACCATGCACGTAGATGAACCGCTCGGCCCGATTACATATTGATTTTGTGGATGGCTATGTTTTAGAATGAGATTGAAATGGGAGCATTAGTGGCCTGATGGTCCAGCGGAAAGGTAATGCTGGTGGTTGGAAGGCATCAGCGGGAAATAAGAAATACGCCCAGGGAAAAAAATAACCATATGCAATGTCTCAAATCCGCTTTGCTAGAAATAGCCATGCTGCATCCAATGTAATGAGAAGGGGTCATGGGAGTATGAGACATTAGGCGCTAAACACATGGTCTGGTACAACATCAAGTGGAGTAAGGCGGGTGAAATACATACCCTCGGCTTAGTGTGTACGTATACAAAGCGGCTTGGTTGCAGATGCATGAAAAAGAAAAAGAGAGAAATTGAGTATGTGTATGTGTAAAAGAGCACAAGCAGTAGCTGTTGAGCAACGATGGTCTACATGGTCATGCTCCAATCAGCAATGTTGCTGCACCGCGGAGATCACCGGCATACATCCGAGGCAAGCTTTCTCCTCTTCTTGTCTTGCTGTAAGAAACAGCAACATCACTCCTCTTAGAAAAGAGAAGCAGTAACGAGAATTACATGGCGTCTTGTACAACATACTGCAACTGATCGAGGTAGTCTCATCTAGAGGAGCTTGTATTGCAACAACATCACACGTGTAATAGGCAACGACGACAAGTCCAAAATGTGGCAAATAAGATGAGGATTGGGGGGTGGGTGGATTGTATGCCAAATATTATCAAGGCGCTGTTTATTGTTTCATTCAGGAGAAAGACGACAACAAGGAGTAGCAAGAGAAAAAAAAAGCTGCGTGAGGTTAAAACCTACAGAGACTCGTGCTCAATGTCTCTTTCTCGGGGGGAACACAAGAATGATGATCCATTAACGTGTGTGTTGTATAAGGAGACATTGCTGTATCTCGAAAATCGTTGCATGCATATGATGATTCTTTTCAGGCACGTATGTCTCCATATCCCTTGTATCGATGACATAGGTGATGGAGGGGTGCAAAGGTGCGAAAAGAGGGTCTCGTCTCGTTTGGGACACAATAGCAATGATTTTGGGTTCAAGCATCAATCTGTATGCTGCAGCTCGCCTTTCCGGGCATAGAAGCGGTGTCACATTTGTTGCATCGGCGTGGTCGACACAGTTGGCCGATCCCGTAGCCCGCTCTCAAGCCGACAGGCATGAAACCCGTCATCATGTCCGTGCATAAAACATATAAATATCGCCTGCCACGTTGCAAAAGACTCCCGCTCTCAGTTGCATAATTCCTTGGCTCAAACATCCCTTCTCTCTCTCTCTCTCTCTCTTTTCCTCTCTCGCTCTTTTCCTTCGTCCTCTTTTCACGCATACACGCATCATTACCTTCAACGTTTCCTATACACACACAATAAAACATCCAATCATGTATTTTCTTCCCTCACCACCCGCATCACCAGTTGAGCAATATGAAGACTTCGATGATTTTATGATGGACGACGACAACAACGAAGCCAACATCGTTTGTGGTTCTTGCAACAAGGCTCTTGGATCAGACTGGTTCTGCTCAAATTGTCACAAGAAGTGTTCCACCTGTAGCAGGCTACTGACACAAAGCTCGGACGACTATTGCACTCGTTGTTGGGTATACATTCCTTCTCGAAATATCTATGTACCCAGCCAACGTCAACTTGCTGCAATGATGAAATCGATGCCTTCGCCCACCAATAGCTTCACATCATCCAACAAGCGCCACCACCATCATCATCATCAATAACTCCACGTATACAAGATACATCCTACTACGCATATATATATCCGCAATGACCTTCATTGATATCACGCCGCAACACACACACACACAACAACCACTTGTCTCAATAGTACATATATATAACCTACCTCCTCACATTTCCGATTTTTGCCCTCTTGCTGTGCAACTTTTGCCCCTTGTCGACACACACACAATCCCCCTTTTTTCCCGCAAGTTGTTGTCTCTCTCGTCCGCTGTATACTGTTTGTTCCTATTAGTGCTGTATTGCCTCTTTCTTTCCTCTTTGTTGTATATTATCCGCACACGCAATCACACACATGCACACAATCAACCATGCTGTGTTAGCAACTACACCAATACAAATAAATGATATTACACCATTTTCATTTTGAATATCCTGTGACAAATGGCTCTTACCCCTTTCTTGTTTTCACATCAGCAGCAGCAGCAGCAGAAAGTCAATCCTTGTCTTTTTTGGAGTGTGCGTGTGTCTTGGAACATGCAGGTTGACGATGTAGGCTGTGGTACGGGTTGCCTTTTTCAGCGTCATGCATACGCTTGCCTCTGTCCCCCCACACTAAATTTAGAAATTACCACGGTGATCCTATGCATGGTCAACACAAAGTCCATTTGTTTGTAGTACCTTTTTCGATAAGTCTTTTTTTTTCTCTTCACCTGACACAGAGCCACTTGGAGGGTTGCACACGCTCAACTCACACATGCGCGCGCATTTCCAGGGATCGACATTCTTATTGTGCGAGAAATCGTACGATTTCTTGTTGTCCCTGTAGTACGAGAATGGTAGAAAAGAGAAACATTAGGCGTAAACAAGTTGGCGTAAGCATGCATCATCATCATCATGGTCATCGACCTTGGATACCAAGTAAGGTGTGTCACGTAAACCAATTCCAATGCCATTAAGTATTCATCACACACACACATCTTGTCTTCTCCACCGTATCCATTATTACATAAGCATTGTAACAAATAAATGGGCTCTCATCATACGAGATCCCTATCCACAAGGTTTATTTAGCATTGTAAATGTCGAATTTAGAATGTCACGTGCTCTCCATCTCACTATGCTATGATTCTTCTTGCTCACATTGGGGTGAAAGTAAATGTCACGGCTATCGCGATAGTGATCGGGGCGAAGAAGAGATCAGTTTTTTAACCACCCCCATAAGATCATAGCAGCACCACTAGTACTAGGTGCCATGGAAGAAGAGAAAACATAGGATCCATGCCACAACATGCATTGCATCATGAGGCTAACGACGTAGCACCCCCGCTGATAATATTAGCAATAGATGATATGATGAGGAAGAAAAAAGCTGCATGCCAACCTTAGCTGCGACTATAATTGTATCGCATCGCCTGCTGAATCCTTCGACAGAGAGCTTCAAAATAACACCCGCGGCTATCAAGAGCATTATTCTGAGAATGTGCGTGTGTACATGCATGCATGTTTTTCTCTTTGATGAGCCTTAAATGAACTTTGAGTTAATCCTACCGTGGCTTTGGTGAAGAAGATACGTAACAAAGCTAATATCCATTCCTCCTCAACATGTCTGAGTAACGTGAAAATGGGTTTTCATTCCGCATCGCCTTGTCAAATCATTACATGGAATACGCAACTTTTAATCTCGATCAGCTTGTAAAAACGCAACATGACGGAGGACACTGCTGTGGACAAATTAACAACGTGCCATGCGGGAAACCCACCACTCGCTTCAACGAGGCTTGGTTAATAAAAGATGATGTTTGTTTGTTGATGTACACCCACAACCACACATTACAGAGCCCTTGCATTGTTGTCACTACTATGTAATCAGCATCATTTGCAGCCGCTAATACATTTGACGACAATGGTTTTAGGAAAACTCCTCTTTTCTTCGATCCTTCCATCTTGATCTGGGATGCAACAAAGATAATCAATTGTCAACCAGCACATCGTTTTGGGGGGTAGGAGAACCAAGGAGATAATTATTGTTGTTATTCGGTGAACGTTTACTTGCTTGTAAAGAAGATTCCAGACCACGTGTATACTCAATGTATAGCCGATGCATGCCCCTGCATGCAGGACCATGCGGGGTGTGTGTCTCATTTGTTTCAGATAAGAGGAATGGCCTTGTCCCCTCTGGACCCAACACTTGCTGACTCAGCACACGCATGCTTTATTCCATCATCCCATATTCAACAGCTATGAAAGCGAGAGTAAGTAAAAACACGCTTTGTATAGCACAAGACCATGCGTGCTTCGTTTCTTGTAAAGCTATGGATTCAAATCTCATTGCAAGAAACGAGCAAGTGAGACATCTGAGTTAGAATATAGATGACAACAATGAGCGTCGGTAGCTTATTGAATTGACAGCTCTGACATCATTGCGGACCAAGGTAGAGTATTGTTCTTCATTTTCTTGTCATATTTCAAAATTTACTGGTCCGCATGTAAGACTTGGCTGAGAGCACGACATCCCGTTAGTTAATCCGCTTGCCTATATTTAGTCCCTCACGGTGGAAGTACGCGATGCGGCATGTTGAGTTACAAGCTGCTAGTTGTCAATTACCTGGTTATCCGATTGTTTTCTAAAGATCAAATACCCCGTCAATAACCCGCTTACAGCTGACCCAATGGCTATTTTCGAGCACTATGCATTGATCCATGGATTGATGATGATCTAATTATGACTACCGTTTGCCTTTGGAAGCCTTCGAATGAATGGCTATCGTATTCAAACGTCTTCAAAGCCTTAAACTGGCTAAGAGCCTGATTCACGTTATGCATAGCGCTGCCAAATCGTTTATTCAAGCACAAGCTTAATGAGACATGTTAAAGAGTACTATGTATAACTTGATACTACTAATTGCACCGGATTACGAGTCACCACAAGGGGGAGGTCAAGTTGGGCGTGTCAACATGGGATGAAGTGCATACCTGGATATGCGTATGATTACGAAGCAGTGACACCAAAGATGAACCATGATCAAATGCCTACCATGCATCATGACCTAGCATCACTTCTCGTCACGTGAGCCGTTCTTTGGAGTTGTATGCAATGACACGGTATCAATAGTTTAGTGTAATGATCGTCTTTGTTCAAGACATGTTGATCAATCAGGCGCTTTTCTTTTGCCATGGCATTTACAAGTGGATGTGTTCTCACATTCATGCATTTGCCGTACCTTAAACCTTTCTATAATACAATGCATCAAGTGTCAATTAGGGAGGAAGATCCTTGCTATAGAGGATCAGAAATGGTTGACAAACGCAAACTCTTATTCGTTAAAACAGCCCTTTAATGCAACATCATTTAAAAGAGATAGATTGTTGAGAGGTAGTACAATGAATTGCTACAATGGGAGCGATACTCCGATTTGGAAAGTTTCTATCATCTGGTGGGCGTGCATTGTCCAAAGGTGAATGGATGAACACGAGCTGGCACTGGATGCGTGCAAAACATGGAGTTGGATGGTTGACAGGTTGCATAAAGGATGATCATCATAGTTGCCATGGGGTAGGATGCACCAATCGTTCAAGATGATAGCGGCAAGCACAATGGTCAAGTTGGCAAGGGATCCATAACAACAAAGGCTCCTTTTCTACGCGTTGTGTATATCCAATTCCTTCCATTCCAAACCAATACCCATATCCATATCCATATCCATATCCACAGGTATTCGTATGCATCAAAGAAAGCTGATCCTCGTAAATAAACTGGTGCTATATCATGGCTATTTGCTGTTCACGTAAAAATGGCCTGAAAGGTAAGTTGCTGCAAGTAAAGGAAGCTGTTTGAGACAATGGAGCTGAGACCTCGCTAATGGCAACTGCTGCAATGAATGCTATTACGCTTGATCGTGGTAGAGGAATGTGCAAGAGTGTGTGTTGTGTCGAGAGACTCGTGTGTTGTAGAAGAGTGACAAGAAGGCTGTGTACACGCCATGGACTTGCCATTCAGTCAAAGACAATCGGATCAAGACAATCGTAGGATTGACATGATGGTTTGAAGCAGGACAATCGATCGCAGGCGGATGTTATACTTGAATGGTGTAACAGTTGAGAATGAGAGGAAGAGGCAAGGTGCTGGAAGTGGAAGAGGTGGAAATTAAAGAGGTCGGGCACCTCTTGTATAAATGTATGAACACTGTGCATTAATCCTTGATATTGAGATTGCCCCTCTCGAACCTGAAACTTTCACACAAGGTGCTCTTGGACATGCTAACCAACTTTGTCATAAAAAGGAACCTATACTTCATTATAAAATCTTGAATGGGAGGGTACAATGTGGGATTTACTATGGAGATCGGAAAGCATGTCAGCGCCGGATTCATGATTTATCGAAATAGTATGTATTACCTTGGGATTCCCCATTTCGAAGATGAAAATTTGTCAGAAGGTTCGCTGGGACATGCTGAGCAACTTCATTCAAATAAAAGTCGCAGACTTCATTGTGAAGAATTAAAATGCGGGGCGACCCAAATGGTGGATGACGGGCAATAAAGAACGAGCAGCCCTCCGCCCCGAAGTTGCTCACCTCCAACTAGAAAATTAGACAGGGACGGTGCTCTCGCGCATGCTGATCAACTTTTTCTAATAAAAACTTTACGCTTCATTTGTAAATTTGGAATGGGAGCGTCCAAAAGTTTGAAAGACGGAGACATTCGCAGGGTCTGCGATTCATTAATTTTCATGTTTGCTGTTGGAGCGTAGCTCAGTCAAATCGGCTCGGATCAAGAAACTTGGATGATGGAAACGCTCGGCTGGAGCAGGAGAATCATTCACATGCATTGGTTTGGGCAACAACGTTGATTGAGAGGAAATGGCTGTTAGCTGGCAATACATGGTCTATTGTCGATAGTATACAGTATCATCCTTCCATCCTTCCAGTCATGCAAGGTAGTTGTGTTACACAAAGACGTCCCTCTGCATCTCCGGCTGTATCAGGGTCAAGCTACTTCACAATGAACAACGACCACTTTTCATATAGCATCACGCTTAC